GCAACAAAAAGATCAAAACATTGGGAAATTATCAAAAGTGGGGCAACATTTGTACTGGAAAAACTACACAGCACTGGTAAAGAAATGAAAGACTTAAAACAAGTGACATCTTAGGGTATTTGGAAAAATTCTAATTGTTCAGATGACAATATTCCCAATAGGGAAATCTTTTCAACAAGTGATAGTGGGCCAACTGAATACTGACATATGAAAGAATGAAGTTGGTCTCCTTACCTCATATCATACACAAAATGAACTCAAAAGGGATCCAACACTTAAATTCAAGAGTTTAAGCTACGTCTTAGAAGAAAACACAGGTATAAACCTTCATGATTTTAAATCAGATAATGGTTTCTTATAGATGACACCCACAGTTCAACAACTAAGGGAAAAATAGACAAATTGGGCTTCATCAAAATTTAAAACTTTCGTGCAGGAGCCAGCATTGTGGGTCAAGTCAGCCTCCCTTATGCACTGGTATGAGTCCCCTGCTCCACTTCCAGTCCAGCTCCCTGCTAATGTGCTGGAAAAGGAGCAGAGGATGGCCCAAGTACCTGGGCCCTGCCACCCACGTGGGAAACTCAGGCTCTCAGTTTCCGCCTGGTCCAGCCCTAGCTGTTGAGACCCTTAGGAGAGTGAACCAGTGGATGGAAGAAGTCTCTCTCTCTCCCCTCCTCTCTCTGTAACTCTGCCTTTCAAGTAAATCTTTAAAAAACAAATAAATAAGATTTTTGTGTATCAGAGGATACTTTCAAGAAAATAAAATGACAATCTACAGAATTAGAGAAGATTCTTGCAAACCACTCACCTGATAAGGTTCTTTATATATTGAATATATATTTTATATATTCAAAATACATAAAAAACTGATAACAATTTTTTTAAAAATTTATTTATTTTATTTGAAAGGCAGAACTACAGGGAGGCAGAGGTGGGGGGAGGAAGGGAGAGGTCTTCCATCACTGGATCATTTCCCAGATGGCCACAACAGCTGGAGCTGCACAGAGCTGAAGCCAGGAGCCAGGAGCTTCTTCCAGGTCTCCCATGCGAGTGCAAGGGCGCAGGGACTTGGGCCATCTTCTACTGCTTTCCCAGGCCATGGCAGAGCTGGATCAGAAGAGGTGCAGCTGGGCTCGGACCTGAGCCCATATGGGATGCTGACACTGCAGGTGGCGGCTTTACCCGCTACGCCACAGCGCCGGCCCCTAAACTCAACAATTTAGAAAAAAAATAGCTAAAAATGAGCAAAGAATTTGAATAGATATTCCTCCAAAATATATATATATATATCTAGCATGGAGAGGAAAAGATGCTTAACATCATTAGTCTTTAGGGAAATATAAATCAAAACCACAATGAAGCAGTTCATATCCAGGAGGATGATTTTTTTTTAATTTAACAGGTAGAATTACAAACAGTGAGAGAAGAGACAGAGAGAAAGGTCCTTCCGTTGGCTCACTCCCCAAATGGCTGCCACGGCCTGCGCGCTGTGCCAATCCGAAGCCAGGAGCCAGGAGCTTCTTCCTGATCTCCCACGCAGGTGCAGGGGCCCAAACACTTGGGCCATCCTCCAGGAGGAGGATTGTAAATTTAAAAAAAAGAAGAAGAAGAAGAAGAAAAACAAAAACATGGGGCTGGCACTATGGTGTAGTGGGTAAATCAGCCTTCTATGGCACCGGATCCCAACTGCTCCTCTTCAGATCCAGTTCTCTGCTATGGCCTGGGGGCTGGGAAAGCCGTAGAAGACGGCCCAAACGCTTGGGCCCCTGCACCTGTGTGGAAGACCCAGAAGAAGCTCCTGGCTTCTGGCTTTGGATTGGCCCAGTTCCGGCCGTCGCAGCCATCTGGGGAGTGAACCAGCAGATGGAAGACCTTTCTATCTGTCTCTCCCTCTATATCTGTAACTCTACCTCTCAAATAAATAAATCTTTAAACACACACACACACACACACACACACTAACAGATGTTGGCAAGGAAACAGAGAAACAGAAACTCCTACATGGCTGGTGGGGAAGTAAAGTGGTGCAGTTGCTGTGGAAGTTTAGCATTTCCTTAAAAACCGGAACACTGAATTGCCGTATGACCCAGCAGTCCACTCCTAAGGATAAAACCAATGAAACGAGAGCAGGACACCTGCACTCCAGTGTCCACTGCAGCACCACGCAGGCGAGCCAAAAGGCAGAAACTGCACAGGAACTCATCACAGGATTTCTTTTTTTTTTTTTTTTTGACAGGCAGAGTGGATAGTGAGAGAGACAGACAGAGAGAAAGGTCTTCCTGTGCCGTTGGTTCACCCTCCATTGGCCGCCGCGGCCGGCGCACTGCGGCCGGCGCACTGCGCTGATCCGATGGCAGGAGCCAGGTGCTTCTCCTGGTCTCCCATGGGGTGCAGGGCCCAAGCACTTGGGCCATCCTCCACTGCACTCCCTGGCCACAGCAGAGAGCTGGCCTAGAAGAGAGGCAACCGGGACAGAATCCGGCACCCCGACTAGGACTAGAACCTGGTGAGCCGGCGCCACAAGGCGGAGGATTAGCCTAGTGAGCCGCGGCGCTGGCCAGGATTTCTTTTAAAATGTTGTCTGCACACATAATAGATTATATTCAGCTATAAGAGGAATGAAGTTCTAGGGCTAGTGTGGCTACTGTTTGTGATGTGCCACCCATATACGAGTGCCGGTCACTGTCCCAGCTGCCCCACTTCCTCTCCAGCTTCCAGCTGATGCGCTGGGGAGACTGGGATGGAGTTCCTGGCTCCTGGCTTCAGTCCGGCCCATCCCTGGCTATTGAGACCATTAGGAGAGTGAGCCAGTGGAGAGAAGATCTTCCTCTCTCTCTCTCTCTCTCTCTCTCCCCTGCCACCTCTATTGTTCTGCTTTCCAAATAAATAAATACACCTTCTTTAAAAAAAAAGAAAGAAAGAAAGAAAGAAAGAAAGAAAGAAAGAAAGAAAGAAAGAAAGAAAGAAAGAAAGAAAGAAAAAAGAATGGCGTTCTAATCCCTCCTACCACATGGATGAACCTTGAGGACATCATGGAAGTGAGTCAGAGGCAAAAGGACCGGTATCTTAGATTCTGCTCAGGTGAAGAACCTAGAACAGGCAGATCTGTAGAGGAAGTCAGCAGCACAGGGCTTGGTGGAGTTGGAAGTCTTTACTAAATGGTTACAGAGCTTCTGGCTGGAATAATGAAGGTTTGTAACTAGATAGTGATGATGGTTGCACAACATTGGGAATAAATTTATTGTCCCTAAATTGCACACGTAGGCCAATTTTACATATATTTTAACTTTAAAAAATATTACTAATGTAACAAATCAAAACCATATAATTATATACTTTAAATGGGTGAACTGTATGATATGTGAATTATTTCTTAATGAAGCTTTTTTTAAAGGGAAGAAACAAAAGAAATGAGCTCTCAAGGTATGAAAAAACATACCTGGGAACCTTAAACACACATCTATGAGTGAAAAAGCTACAAACTTTCCACGTGGACAGCAAGCCATACTCCAACTCCAGCCCCCTCTAATCTGCCACAATAGAAGAGAACTGGCCCCAGGCCAGCCCTGTAGCATAGCAGGTGAGGCTGCCCCCATGATGCTGGCATCCCATATGGGTGCTAGTTCTAGTCCCAGCCGCTCCACATCTGATCCAGCACCCTGGTAATGCACCAGGAAAGCAGTGGAAGATGCCCCAAGTGCTTGGGCCCCTGCACCCACCCACGTGGGAGACCTGGATGAAACTCCTGGCTCCTGGCTTTGGCCTGACGCAGCCCAGGCTGTTTCAGACATCTGGGAGTGAACCATCAGATAAGAGATCTCTCTCCCTCTCTCTCTCTGTAACTCTTCCAAATAAATAAATAAATCTTTAATAAAATTTAATAAAAGAAAAAAAGCTTCAAACTTTATGAGTCCAACTTCTGACAACTAGAAAAGGTGGTTACATACAGCAAAAAGGCCAGCAGTTGCCAGGGTTCAGAAGGGGGAGAAAAAAGGAAGAACTGTGCACACAGGGCATTTTTAGGGCAGTGAAACTATTCTATATGATACTGCCATTCACATGACATGGGTTTTTCAAAACCACAGAACTGGCTCAAGTGACGGGGCTCCAGCCACCCACACAGAAGACCTAGATGGAGCTCCTGGCTACAGGCTTTTGAGGAATCAATCAGCAGATGTGAACTCTAACAAATTCAAAACATTTGTTTAAAAAAATCATCAACCCATACAATTCAAAGAGTGAATCCAAATGTAAAACGTAAACTTTAGCTAATAATGCTATCAGTATTGCTTCATCAATTGCAACTAATGCAAGATGTCAGTAACAGGCAAAATTATGTGTAAGTAAGGAGAAGTATGTGGGAACTGTACTTCTGCATAATTTTTCTGTAGACCTCAAACTACCCTTAAAAAACTACTTAAAATGCACACTTAACAAAGAGATTGCACTGAATTTCATCCTCTTCCCATGAGTCACACAGCTATCCACTTTCAACACAAACGGTAAGTCTACCTTCTACGGAGAGGAAGTACCGGCGTTCTGAGCACTGTGGACGCCCAGGTACCACGGAATCACCTCGTCTTCCACACCCCTTTCCCTGCTTTACTTCCTCTTCCGCCCACGACAGAAGGACTGCACAACCTAAACTGTATTCACACGCCTGCTTCCATCTAGGCGTCTGGGAAACACGCCCTTATCTCCCGGCTATCCTCCGTCTAACTGCAGTTACGGGGCGTGGTGGCGTCACTATCCAAACTGCCATGCCTCCTGTTTTCACTCACTCCATTCATTTTCCATGAGGCACCATTTTATCAGGAACCTGTGTTCACTTGACATGTCCTTTTGAAAAAGAAAAATCCCACCCTCTACGGCCCACAGAGTCGACGAGAAACCACTAACTGTCCCAGAGGAAAGGCCTCCGGGACACGTGAGAACACCCTCTCCCCACCCTTGTTTTTAAACCGTCCCCCCAAACTCATCTTTTCTGGTATAAACTCCACCTTGATCTTTCCCAGCTTCATCGACGTGCTGGAAATCTTTCAGCGTATGAAGGTTACAGAAGCCCTCTCTGCAATGCTGAATAACTCTCTCTGATCCATTCTTGATGAGATAATCCATCAGCATAAGTGATTTGTACACGTGGCGCCAGTTCTTCCCATGGTCACCGAGTCTCTGCCATAGCATATTCATAATCTCTGAGAGAGAAACTGTGTTGAAAGTCAAGTCGCTGATATCCAACATCAGAGAGCTAGAGGGACCCCAGGGGTCGTTAGAGGTCGCTTCCCTGACCTTGATTTCCGCATCTGAGTAATTTTTCACAAAGTTCTTCACTTGCCTTCGGAATGCCATAGGTAAGACAAGTCTGGAGCTGTGACAGGTGACGGGGGCAATGGGACAGGAGCTGTGCAGTTTGTTTATAATACTCCTGAGAGGTAAACGGTCCCCAGTTCTGCTGCTCCCAGATCCAAATGAGTAGTCTCCATGCTGATAGAATATCAATTTCCTACAAAGCAAATACGAAAAAATGTGTAAAAGTACGAAAAAATGTGTAAGTTGATGAGTGGATATAAGCTAAACTAGTTTAAAAAATATATCTACAGAAGAAGTCGGCATTGTGGCACAGTGGGTTAGGCCACTGCCGATGATGCCAGCACCCCTTATCACAGCACCAGTTTGAGTCCTGGCTGCTCCACTTCTGATACAGCTTTTTATTTTTTAAGATTTTATTTATTTATTTGAGAGGTAGAGTTATAGACAGAGGGACAGACAGAGAGAAAGGTCTTCCATTTGCTGGTTCATTCCCCAAATGGCTGCAACAGCCAGAGCTGCGCTGATCCGAAGCCAGGAGCCAGGAGCTTCCTTCAGGTCTCCCATGTGGGTGCAGGGGCCCAGGCACTTGGGCCATCCTCCACTGCTTTCCCAGGCCATAGCAGAGAGCTGGATTGGAAGAGGAGCAGCCGGGGCTAGAACTGGTGCCCATGTTGGATGCCAGCGCCACAGGTGCAGGAGTAACCTACTGCGCGACAGAGCCAGCCCCGATACGGCCAACTTCTAATGTGCCTGGGAAGGCAGAAGATAGCCCACGTATCTGAGTCCCTGCCGCCCAGGATGGAGACCTAGATGGAGTTCCCAGCTCCTGGCTCCAGCCTGACTCAGTCCTGACTACTGCCACTGCTTGGGGAGGGACCAGTGGATGGAGATATTTCCCTCTGTGTCTCTCCCTCTCTGTAACTGCCTTTCAGATAAATATTTTCTTTAAAAAGTTCCTGCAGAAAATCAATCTCTTTGAGCAGAAACATAATTATGAAGCATTACATGGACAATGGACACATTAGTATTAAAATAATAGCACTTGGGGCCAGCACTGTGGTGTAGTGGGTAAAGCCACGGCCTGCAGTGCCGGAATCCCATATGGGCACTGGTTCGAGTCCCAGCTGCTCCACTTTTGATCCAGCTCTCTGCTATGGCCTGGGAAAGCAGCAGAAGATGGCCCAAGTCCTTGGGACCCTTCACCCATGTGGGAGAACGGGAAGAAGCTCCTGGCTCCTGGCTTTGGATCGGCGCAGCTCCAGCCGTTGTGGCCAACTGGGGAGTGAACCAGTGGGTAGAAGCTTGCTCGCTTGCGCTCTCTCTCTCTGCCTCCTCTTCTCTCTCTGTGTAACTGGCTTTCAAGTAAATAAATAAATCTTAAAAAAATTAGCACTTGCATTTGGATATCTCTTGCTTACCATATATTTTCATGAATAAAAATATTATGTCCTGGCCGGCGCCGTGGCTCACTAGGCTAATCCTCCGCCTAGCGGCGCCGGCACACCGGGTTCTAGTCCCGGTTGGGGCACCGGATTCTGTCCCGGTTGCCCCTCTTCCAGGCCAGCCCTCTGCTGTGGCCAGGGAGTGCAGTGGAGGATGGCCCAGGTGCTTGGGCCCTGCACCCCATGGGAGACCAGGAAAAGCACCTGGCTCCTGGCTCCTGCCATCGGATCAGCGCGGTGCGCCGGCCGCAGCGCACCGGCCGCGGCGGCCATTGGAGGGTGAACCAACGGCAAAGGAAGACCTTTCTCTCTGTCTCTCTCACTGTCCACTCTGCCTGTCAAAAAAAAAAAAAAAAAAAATTTATGTCCTAAAATCAATTTAAATGGTTTGAAAACCATTAGAGTAACCTAGTGACCCTATGATTCTATTCTTTTTAGAACTACAAGTCATCAGAATCAGAACTACATATGGTCTGTTTTCCTGTTACTCTTAAAGGGAAGACGGTCAACTATTAAGACAAATAGTTGCACCTCAGGGGACTTCACAGCGAACTCATGGTCCATAAAACCAGGATTTAGTCCAGATAATACCAGTAAGTTCAAGCGAAAGGTTAAATTACTTTCTTTACTCACTCTCAGAAAATGAAGTATGAATTTAGGATTACAGTGTCAACAGTAAGATTCAAATCTTGGGGGGCTGGTGTTGCAGTATAACAGGTTAAGCTGTCATGTGCGATGTCAGCATCCATTATGGGCACCGGTTCAAGTCTCAGCTGCTCCACTTAAATCCAGCTACTGCCAATGCTCCTGGGAAAACAGAAAATGGCCGAAATCCTTGGGCCCCTGCACCCATGTGGAGACTTGGATGAAGCTCCTGGCTCCTGGCTTTGTCCTGGCCAGGCCAAGAAGTTGTAATCATTTGGGGAATGAACCAGCGGATGAAAATGCTCTCCCTCCCTCTCTTCCTCTCTCTCTCTCTCTAATTCTGCATTTCAAATAAATACATCTTTTTTAAAAAGATTCAAATCTGGAGTGGTCAGCATGTATTTGACAGATCTCAAAACAAGTACACACAGAGAGGCCCACTTAGGTTGATATAAAAATACATGAAAGGTTTTTGGCGCAGTGGGTAAGACAACGAATGGAGTGAGCTCTGTGGTGTAGCGGCTCGGTCACCGCCTGGGACACCCACGCGCACACTGAAGTGCCTTGGATCCAGCCCGGCCTCTCTTCCCATCCAGCTTCCTGCTAATGCACACCCTGGGAGGCAGCAGGTGATGGCTTAAGTTCTTGGGTCCCTGACACCCCTGGGGGAGACCTAGACAGGGTTCCAGGCTCCTAGCTTTGGCCTGGTCCAGCCCTGGCTATTGTGGGCATCTGGAGAGTGAACCCAAAGACAAAACAGATCTTTCTCTTTTAGCCTTTCAAATAAAATTAATTTTAAAAATATTTTTTAAAAAATGTAAACTTAAAAAGGGGATGCAGTCCTAGAACTTTATAGAATGCTTGTGAATTATCAATTCACGATTTATACGATTCCCTTTCCATTACTTTGCATTAAGGTGAGTCTGTTAGTTTGCAATGTCTCTAGTGACTTGCCATTGATGGCTAATGAAGACAGTGTACCAAATTGATTTCAAGCCCTGATGAGCACCCAGGCCCAGGGAAGCCTAGATGATCTATAATCAGATCTTACTAGAGTTAACTGCACACACACAAAAGAAAAAATGTTAAAAGCCATGGCAAACGTGTGTGTTATTTTTAGCTTTGTTTCCCTTCCTTGACCTTCTCAGATACTAGCTGAGGCTTCATTAATTTGTGTGTGTACTGAAGGAAGACACAAATTTTCAGAAACATCCCAAAGGAATTATTTTTAAAAAAGTCAAAGGAAATAATTAGCTTCTTTTTTTTTTCCAAGTGCAATGCATCCTCAAATAAACAAGATAGAAAATCTATCAGTTTAATTAAGATTTCTCAGAAACTATCATCAACCCTAGGAAGAAAAAGGCAAGTGTATTTCTACAACCTTCTGATTTTCTCTCATTTGCACTTCAAATATAGACATTTTTATCTGACTCCTCCTGCAGCAGAAATCTGATTTATGTTGTTTCAATAAGCTATTAAAACTTTCAGTCACAAGAGTTTCCTGTTGTCCTTTTTTCCTCATACCAAACTCATTCAGTGCAAAGATCCACTGTGACATTGGCTCAGAGCAACAAATATTGATCTCTTTCTTTACAAATCTATGTTTTTAAAAGCCTGTTAGAATCATAACTTGTCAGAATTGGACAACAGCTGTTAAAGTCTTGTTCTTCTTTAGCTATTTCTATTTAGCTTTTTAACCTATCTATTTCTTGGAGAACATCTGAATTTTTTGGTTTTTCTATATTCTCTAATCTGCATTCTTTTTAGAAACAATTTTCTTAAATAAATTTTCTGCCCCAAAAAATATCAAAATAATAGTCTTCTAATCCAATATGGTAGCTGAAAATCGATATGCTTGACACCATACCAAAATTAAATACAGTCCCAACCATCTAACCATTAAAAGAACCACAAAGAACAAAGTCTGAATAGTGAATTAATACCACTTACTAATGATCTGTACTTTGCAACAGGAACATAGAATAGACACTATCCTATTTTGTTAATGTCTATATTTATTTTCATATGCTTTAGTTGCAGAGCAACAGAGAGGGAGAAACAGAGATCTTCCACCTGCTGGTTCACTCCCCGAATGCCCACCGCAGCCAGGCTGGGCTGGGCTTCAGTGAGGAGTCTGGAGCTTCTCTGGGGTCTCCCATGGGGTGGCAGGGACCCAAGCAGCTGAACCCATCTGCTGCCTCCGAGGATGCATTAGCGGAAAGCTGGACTGGAAGTGGAGCAGCTGGGACACAAACCGGCACTTCAGTACGGGATGCAGGTCCCAAGAGGTGCGCGCCCTGCTCTCCCACAACACCGGCCCCTCCATTCTACTACTGAGGTCTGTTCAGACGAACAAGGAATTAAATCAATTGGCATTAGTTGTGAATTACACATTGGTTCATTTGTTTTAGACACCTGCCTACAGTGAATGCTCAGCTTACTCACACCATCAACTATGAGGTTGTAATCAATCATGCGCTACATAACGCGTTTCCATCAAAGACGGACCAGGTACAAGCGTGGTGGCCCCGTAAAGCTGTATCACTTGGCAACACAGCAGTCCTCGTGGTTTGAGTACATTCCACAGGCTCCCACAACGATGGAATCACCTAACGACACGTTTCCCAGAAAGCATCCGTAGGCAACACAGGAGCACGGTGCGGGGACACTCGGGGGAACTTCCACCCGTGAACCCTGACCGGCCGCCTACCACATCACCACATCACCTGGAAGTATCGCGTCCCGGCCTTTTGGCTAAGATCAAGTGGAGAAGAAAGTAAGAGCCATGCTACTCTCTGAGAGGCCCTCACCGGCCGGGTCAACCACTTTCTTCGGCATCTGGCTAAGCTCCTTGTACGCCCTGTGTCTGTCACTGCCTTTCCTCACAAGGACATTTTTCCAAGCTGCTTGAGGGCAGAGCTCTTGGCCGCTGCAACCCTGCGCTCAGAAGACACCAGCGAAAGTAGGTCCTCAAAACCATGTGTTGAGGGAGTGACCTACTCTCGGGGACGAAGCTGCAGTTACTCTGGACTATAAGCACGCTGTCTTAACATCAGAGACCTACCATTCACGCCGCTTGGGGGAGGAATGTAAAACGTAATTCTACATCAAACAACATACTTAAGCTCTCTCTTACAATTCCACGGCATAAGAAAAGTCGTTTTCTTTTTAGCTCTGCGCTGGTCCAAAATGCTGCCCCCTCCCCCCTTATCTGAATTGTGATAGGAAATGACTTAAATCACCAGGTGACACTGATCTCGTCCAAACCCTCGGAGGCTGGGTGAGTTCTGGAATTCAAGTTCACTCGGGGGATTTCTGTGCCAGTACCATACACGATGGCCAGGGTGAGCTGCGGGCTCACTCGGAGCAAACCCCCACATTAACACGCCTGCATTTGAACGTGGCAATCCTTGGACTACAGGCTGCGATGGCCCGCGTCGAGCGAGGCGTGGAGAACGCTGGTTTTCTGCGCCCTCTGGGTTTCAGAATGGAGGATCCGGGCGCGGAGGAGCCGGCCTATGACAGGGCAACCATCACAGCGTTTAGGCGAGGGCTGTGGGGAGAGCGCAGGTCCTGCCCTGGCCCCCCAAGGAAACGCGCTGGGGCAGAGAGAATTCCCCAGCGCGGGCCGGCAGGTGCACGCCGCAAGCGGCAGAGAGCCTCGACTTCCTGGGCCCCATCTGTGCGCGCCCGAGTTCGGTCTACTAATCCCTTTCCAGAATTTACCACGGGGCGGACTCCACGCCAGGAAGCAGGGAAAGGCGCCGCGCCGACCGAGCGCCCCCGCCCCCGCCTCAGTGGGATTTAAAGGCGCGGACTTGAGGTCCGTCCGCTGTGCCACGTCCTAGCTGGGGCTCGGCCTGCCCGCCCCGCCTGCAGCGCAGGAGAGGAAGAAGCCAGCCGCTCTGGGGGACCCTGGAAACCCAGAGTGGCGGCCGAGAACCACCCTCCCGGCCACACGGCCTCCCCTCGGCATCCGCTCCCGTCATTCAACATGGAGGTGAGAACCATCACCGCGCACGGTGGGCACCGGTGGGCCCGGGGCGGGGTCCCGCAGAGGGGCAAGCGGGCGACCACCCTCAGAGGGCGCGCAATTGACTGCCGCACCGCAGGCCGGCCTGCGTGGAAGATTCTAGAAGGAGGAAGGGGCGTCATGGCGTCACACAGCAGGGACCTACCCTCGCCAGAAGCAGAGCTCAAAATGGAGGTGGTTCCAGGCCGTCCCCTCCCCACCCCCACACACGCTCCCAAACGAGCAGCTGTTACCTCAGATACGGTCCAGGAGCTGCCCGGGACCCTTTTCCCTTCGGATTCAAACCCCTCTGCCCATTCCGCCTCCTAGACTGTGGCCCAGCCGCGCACGCAGGGCCCCACTTCCGCTTCCTCACTTCCGGTCCCCGGGTGCCCACCTCTGCCAGTCCCTGGAGCAAAATGGATACAGGAGATTAATATGCCCCACCTGACGTGGCTAGGAGGAAGAAGACTTGGAGGCTAAGAAAATGCCCCGCAGACAAAGGTAACGTTTGTTTTTAGCTCCTACTGCTTTGTTCATAATAATAATAGTAGCCAACATTATTTATACTGACCTGGAAGTAGGTAAGTACAATATAAATATATTACTATATATTTATATATAATATAATATAAAGTGGTAGCAGGTATGAAAGATGTGGGTGTATTAGAAATAAATTAGGGCTGTGGCACTGCCCTACTCCTCCTTTCAAATAACAAACGTTTACAGTGTGTGTTACTAGGGTAATTGTAACTGCCTCAGGCATCTGACAGACACCCCAAAGGACAAAGAATGTCACACGTGTGCCGGGGTAGGAGTTCCTGGGATGACAGGCAGTCGTTGATGTGTTCAGCTGATCTTCAGTGCACGGGCACTGTGTGCCAGGCGGTAAGGACCCCGCGATAAAACACAGCCCTGTGCGGGATGTGTGCACACACTCCTGGAGGTGACATGCACCCTCATGGAAGATTCTAGCAAGATACATATAGCATGATAAGAGAGGAGAGAGCTTCTAATTCAGCCAAGGAGCATTTAAGGGCAAGTTTCACAGAAGAGTTCACATCTGAATTGAATCTTAAGGGATGACAGGGTGTTCACTGGAGAAACCAGGCAGAGGAGGTCGTTGGAGGCCAAGGACGTAGCGTGTATAAAGGCGTGGAAGCTGAGAGAGCCATCATCTCAGTGAAGCTCCAAGGACTGTAGTTTCTATGGCTGTCACAGAGGCAATTACTGGAACAGCAGAGGGAGGTGAAGGGGCAGAGGGACTCGGGTCATGGAGAACCGCGACCACACTGCTAGACGGTTACATCCAGCAGGCATTGAAAAGATAACCAAACCCAGGTTCTAAAGAACGTCGATGGCTGAGTGGGATACCGACTAGGATGGGGGGAGAAAGACTCAGAGGGTAAGAAAATGGGTAGTGGACAAGAATAACATTTGTTTTTAGCTCCTACTGCTTCACTTATCATTTTTCTAATAGCCAACATTATTTATACTGACATGGAGGCAGGTAGGTACAACATAAAGTGATAGGAAGTATGAAAGAAGTTGGTGTATTTGAAATAAAGAGTAATGGGAGGGATAGGCAAAGGGAAATTGGAAAATAGACTGTTCAAGGCCTTGAAAGTCATACTAAGGTGTTTGGTTTTTTTTTTAATAAACTTATCTTTTTAGCTTTTTTTAAAAGATCTATTATATTTTATTTGAAAAGCAGAGTGGCAGCCGGCGCCGCGGCTCACTAGGCTAATCCTCCGCCTAGCGGCGCCGGCACACTGGGTTCTAGTCCCGGTTGGGGCGCCGGATTCTGTCCTGGTTGCTCCTCTTCCAGTCCAGCTCTCTGCTGTGGCCTGGGAGTGCAGTGGAGGATGACCCAAGTGCTTGGGCCCTGCACCCGCAAGGGAGACCAGGAGGAAGCACCAGGCTCCTGGCTTCAGATCGACACCAGCCGTAGCGGCCATTTGGGGGTGAACCAACGGAAGGAAGACCTTTCTCTCTGTCTCTCTCTCTCTCACTGTCTAACTCTGCCTGTCCAAAAAAAAAAAAAAAGAAAAGAAAAGAAAGAAAAGCAGAGTGATACACAGAGAGGGTGAAAGAGAGAGAGAGAGAGAGAGATATCTTCCATCTGCTGGTTCATTCCCCAAATGGCCACAATGACCAGCAGTGAGCCAGACCAAAGCCAGGTGCCTGGAACTCCATCTGGGTCTTCCACATGGGTGGCAGGGGCCCAGGCAATTGGGTCATTCTCTGCTGCTTTACCAGGTGCATTAGCAGGAAGCTGGACGGGAAGTAGAACAGCCGGAACTGGAACTGGTGCCCATATGGGATGCCAACTTCCTAGGCAGCAGCTCAACCCACTATGCCACAATACTATCCCCAGTATTTAGATTTTATTCAATAGAGTAGTTGGGGACAAACAAGCATTTTATACAGTGAGTTAACAGTTTATGAAAGAGTTTTATTTGTATATCTTATGTAAATGTCAAAGGAAGACTGAAAAGTAGCATTTTTGTTCCATTTTGTAGAAGAGGAAGCTGAGTTTGGAGAAGATGACGTTCTTTCTACATGTTTGAGTACCTGCTGTGTGACCAGCTCCATTGCTGAGTCATGAGAATAGAAGGAAGACATAGTCTAATAGAAGAAACAGGAATAAACCAGCAATTATAATAATTTTCCATGATAACGGCAGGCATCAAATGTTTGGGGACAAAAGGAGGATTTGTCTAAATCTACATAGTTAGACAAGACTCCCTGGAGAAGAACTTGAGCTGAGTTGGTAGGAATAAATGGGTTACAAGAATTGCCCAGATACACATAACTTGGAAACAATTCAGCTGGAACTTGAACCCCAATCTCCTGTGTCCAAGTCTGAAAATTCATGTTTTAGGGGCCGGCACTGTGGCGCAGCAGGTAAAGCCACCACCTGCAGTGCCAGCATCGCATTTGGGCACTGGTTCGAGTCCCAGCTGTTCCTCTTGCAGTCCAGCTCTCTGCTATGGCCTGGGAAAGCAGTAGAAAATGGCCCAAGTCCTTGGGCCCCTGCACCCACGTGGGAGACCCGGAAGAAGCTCCTGGTTCCTAACTTCGGATTGGCACAGCTCTGGCCGTTGCAGCCAATTAGGAAGTGAACCAGCAGATGAAAGACCTCTCTCTCTGCCTCTCTTTCTGTGTGTAACTCTTTCAAATAAATAAGTAAATATTTAAAAACATGTTTTAAGTTGCAGGCCATTCTGAGTAGAGTGGCGAGAGCGCAGGCCATGCCACTCTGGCCCCTGCAAGACACAAATCGTTCCTTTGCCCAGCAGATCCGTGCTGTGTGCCCATGACCGTTAGGCACCTTGGAGCCATCTCCATGACCAAATTGACTGTTGCATTATTCCATTGCTTATGCTCAAGTAAGAAGGTCCATAGTAGCCTAATGCTGTGTTACAACACCTGTCATTCACCTCCCTCCGTCTCCTCATGTGGGCGTTGCAGCTTCTCACATCATCATCACAAAAAGGGTAATCCGGACACCAGGACTCTTAGAGCGTGAGCATATTCTCAGTAACTTTCATTGAGGTATATTGTTATAATTGCTTTATTGTTGTGGATTTCTTACTGTACCTGATTTATAAGTTAAACTTCATCGTAGACATGTGTGAGAAGACTTGAGTATATTTAGGGTTGGGTACTTTCTGTGGGTTCAGGCAGCTATTGAGGGTCTGGGGATGCATACTGTGTGCGTAAGGGGGATGACCCTAATGAGCATGGTGCCATCTTCCATTCTTCTCACTCTCTTACACATATACATCTGCCTGTAATGCTAACGTGCAGAAGTTACTGGCCTTGTCTGCACTTAGAATGGAAGGGAGAGAGGAGGAGCGTCTACAGCGACTCTCAAGTCTCTGTTTTGGGTGGCCGTGTAAATGGTGGTTGTTCATTAAGATGACAGACTCGGTCTGAGAGTAGGTTTGGCAGGAGGGTGATGACTTCTGTTTGGGACATTTTGCATGTGAGGGGCCTGGACAACGAGATGAGGACATGAGGACCTACCCAGAGACAGCTGGACAAGGGCAGGGTCTGGGGCTAGGTACACAGACTTGAGAACCAGAGTTGAGAGTTGCCATTACATAGACAATTGGTTGAAGGAGCAGGTGGAAACTGGAGACAGAACAGATCAGACTGCAGTCTCACTGAGGGTAGAGATGTCAGTATCAGGGAGGAGCTGGTTAGACTGGATAGAAGTGTCAAGTGTGGAGGGCAGGCATTATGACACAGCAAGTTAAGCCGTCACGTGGGGTGCCCACTTCTGTATTGGAGAATCTGGGATTAATTCTCCCTCTGCCTCCAACCCAACTTCCTGCTAATGTTCACTTCAGGCAGCACATGATGACTCAAGTGCTTGGTTCCCTGCCACCTATGTGGGAGGCCTGGATGGAGCTCCTGGCTCCTGGCTTCAGCCTGGCCCAGCCCCAGCTATTGCAAGTGTTTGGGGAGTAAATGAGCAGATGAGTAATATCTCTCTCTCTCTCTCTGCCTTTCACACACGAAAAAAAGTGTCTAGTGTTACCAAGCCTGTATAATCAACTCTGTTAAAGTGACAAGAGGAAGAGGGGCCTTCTTACCTGCCTTCCTCCATTTGGGGGCACAATTTAGTTGAAATGCTGTAGCACCCACCAAATACAGTCATTGTTCTGTGATAACAACTTACTTGGTTTTTCTCTTCTACTTTCCTGAACTCAAGATTTTGTAAAAATAACAATGTTTGCTTCACCTGATTTCCAAAAATCCTCTTCTCCTCACCTTCTCTCCTCATTTCTTCTCAATTCTCTGGCATCTCAAGTCTAGAAGGATCTGCTCTCCAAACTCATATCTTCTCCCTATTTGTTCCCTAAATGGTGTTACCCAGTCTCATACCTCTGAACTCACTTCTGAACCAACAACTCTCCAAGTTTTATCTTTAGCCCCAATTTCTCCTGACCTGCAAACTCGAATGTCTAAGTGTCACCAGTTCCCCACGGGTGTCTCTCGTAGACATCTCAAAGTCAACACACCCAGAACGGAGCGCCTCATCTTCCCTTCTCACTCTCCTCCCAGTGGTCTCAGTCAGTGACGCACTTTGCTTCTGTTTCTCGGGCTGTAATCCTTAGCACTGCGTTTGACTCCTCTCTCTGTCTCTTACTCCTCATATGACATCTGTCAGCCTCCCTTTGACCACCGTCCTCAGGGTGACAGGAGTCTGGATACTGCACGGAGTACAAGAGTATTGTCTCTGCTGCTTCACCCTCTGCGCAGCCTGCACATTGCGGGTCTGCCCGCTCCCAGCACCTCCCCACCGTGCTCGAGGCCACTGCTGTCTCTTGCCTGAACTTTTGCAGCGGCC